CTCTTGTATTTCCCACACTCCTCAGGAGATGTAAGAAAATGTTTTTCTCCCTGAGCCTGGCCTTCATAATTCCATTCCATCACAGTCATTCTCACATTATCCTAATCAAGTAGCAGGCTCTGTTTAGAGCAGAAATGGATTACATCACATTAAGTATAGGCCCTTTCTTATCTTTCTTTGTCCTGGAGTAATTTCCAGGACCTGTCTATAACCTGGTGACCAGAAAGCTGTTCATGGTAACTCCAACTATTGTCCAGTTTTATTTTTGAAGGAACTTCCCAAAATTAGCAAAGGAGATGGAAAGGACTGAAATATGGGAGAAATGACAGACACATTTGTTCATTCCCAGATTCAGTCAGCTGGGACTATGGAAGCTGTAGTCCAAACACTTGTACAAACTCAGGATGGGGAAGACTAATCTGCTCCTACTGCAGCAGTTACAGGGCGACTTTCCAGCTGATTCTGTTTGCCATCTTAATTCCTCAGGATTCATAGGGATGCCTGGAAAGTATCTGAAAGCATTTGAAATAACCTCTCTTTCCTCTGCAGATCCTCCATCGATCTCCAGTCCTAAGAATACGGGTGTTTCGGTTGGCCAGAAGGGGATCTTACGCTGTGAGGCCTCAGCTGTCCCAGTAGCAGAATTTCAGTGGTTTAAAGAAGAAACCAGGTACCCAAGCAGTCTTTCAAGGCTTTCAGAGTAGTTTAAGAAGGGAAGGTGTATGTCCTTCGGAAGAAATGGTTTCCTTGAGCTGAGGGGATGTTATCAGTCAAATCGGCAGTTTTACCCAGAGCTTTGGCTTAGCTTTGGGAACTCATTTGAATTCTAAGCTCCGCCCTGATGGATGGGAAGTAACTAGAGCATGCCCAAGCCCATATCATCACAGGCATTTCCTGTATCCTGTTATCGTTAAGGAACCTTCTCTAATCTGGACTTTACTTTCCAGAATTCTCAGCAGCAGCCATGCTAGCTGAGGATGTCTGTGAACTGAAATCCACACAACTGGAGGACACAGTTGGAGGAGTCTGCATTAAGACAAATTGCATGCATGCTATTAAATTCAGCCTCTCTCATTTTTTTAAAAAAAAAAAAAATTATAAAATGGAACATTATATATCCTAGGCACAAATGTACATGAACGATATGAAGTAACTATTATATTTTAGTCTAAATATATCAATGTTAATGCCAGCCATTCCCCATACTTTCTTTATGATGAGCATAAGAAGTTACCTTATATCGTTTTTGATCATCAGAGCATATTATAGTCTACCTTCAATTGCCAATGGCTCTTCAATGATTTAGAACTGAAGCAAATAAAGTAACAAATACGTGGCTGTTGCTGAAAAACACCGGACACTGTGGGGAGGAATTGTTGGAATGGTTATAGCATTGGAATAGGACATGGATGAGAACCAACCTCAGTGCCTCATTTAGCCTTGAAAACTACCAGGTGACCTTGGAGATCCATTATTTTATAGCCCAGCCAACCTCAAAGAATTGCTACAAAAAGGTGAATGCCACCTATGCCAATTTCTTGGACCAAGGGTGAGATTTAAATCGAGTAACTGCAGCCTAGAAGCTTGAAAGTGACTGAATTGCACTTCTGGATTATTGTGTATTAATCTATGCCCTTATCTTATCTTCTTTGCAGGTTAGCTAATGGGCTGGAGGGTGTGAAAATTGAAAACAAAGGACGGATGTCCACGCTAACCTTCTTTAATGTCTCAGAGAAGGACTATGGCAATTATACCTGTGTGGCCATCAACAAACTGGGAAACACCAATGCCAGTATAATTCTGTATGGTAGGTACACAGATCACTGGAATATATACAGGCCACCTATTAGTCTTTCACTCCTTCTGATGGAAGGTGGACCAAGAGCAAATTGTGGGCAAAAGAAAATTTAGCAAAAAGGGACAACTAAAGGAGGAGCTAATCTGAGACACTGATCATTAAAGTGTTTTGTATGGAGCCAGAAAAGTTAATGAGTATCCACGTTGCGTGTGTGTGTGTGTGTGTGTGTGTGTGTGTGTATAACGAGGCCACTAGGATGGATCAAAATTAGATTTTTAGAGTTGGCTGGGAAACTGCAGATTCTGTTTTACAAAATTTGCATCATTTGGTATTTCAAAAGTTAATATCTCTAGAAACAAGGATTCTTGGACAAAAATTACACAAATAAGATATGAAAGATACTAGTGGCTTAACAGGAAACTCGAGGCAGTGTCTTCTCAAACCTTAAGAGTGTTTAAGTTGATCCAGTAAAAAGCACTGAGCTTCAAGGTATCTCTTGCTCCAAGAATGCTCCTGTAGTTACAGTCCCACTAATCTGGTCATAGTTCAGGATAGGATTTGGGGCTTGATGGACCCTGTAATTGTATTTGCAGAACCTACTTAACCAGGATTATAGACTAAGGAGATGCATTTGCCAAAAATGCTAATTTGGTTAGCGCTTACTGTAATTATTTGAGGGGGAGGCTTAGTTTTACCCCCTTTGTTTCGGTGTATACAATTCAGCGTATTGCATAAATCCAGAGATGAGTTTTTAAAATCAAGTCAAGCACGTTTGACAAGAAGGCCAATTTTCTGTCCCAAATTCTGCCTTTTCAAAGCACAGGACGAAGTCAATGTCCCAGCTGGGATCTCAACACATCCAAGACAATTTCCAGTATCAAGTTTTCAAAGCTAACACAAGCAGTGTCTTGTGGCTATTCTAAATTTTTAGATGACCGCCATCCACTCCAGTGATTGTATCGCATGTTGTCATGTCTGTCACATCCATAATATCATTGTTGGATACATTTGCTTACGTAAACTGGGCCATTTTTCTAAGAAGCCATCTGTTCGTTTAACTGTCTGCAAATATGAACTACATCTTTATCCTTTCCTTTCCTCCCCCCTCTCTCCCCTCCCTGTGTTTCCATCGTGACTTCTGTTTTAGAAATACCTGAACCTCCAGCACTGTCAGGTTGGTACGAGCATGATTCGTTCCTTTGTTTGCTTACAGCATATCAAAGCAAGACACCCCTTTGCTATGAAAAGAGAAGAGACGCCTCCCGTTACAGGCATGCAAAATATTTTAAATCAAGACCTTCCAATCTTGAAACGGTTTGAGCTTGAAATGTGGTGTTCCCAACCTTACTGGAATTGCACATGCATTGTTCTGATCATTTCAGGAGTGTTTTTTTCACCAAGAGGTTCTGTTTCAAATTGAAGACAGGAGATCAGAGCTTTAAAGTGGGGGCATTTTGAGCTTAAGACACTTCTGGAATGGTCAGAAGATTACCAGTAATATCTGAACAGCTCCAAGCTCGGAATGGGGGATTTTGAGGTCAAAAAGTTTCAAGTATGAAGCGTTTGGTACACTCTTACAGATCTGTAGAGACTTCTCATTGATGTGTTCTTGGAAGGAATTAAGGGATTGCTTTTAAAATGTGTTAGGGATAGTCCTCCACATCAGCTTATTCATGGAGGTCAACTCTGTCAATAGCCTCTAGTCATGATTAGTGGTATTACCACAAAATGTTGTAGTATATATTTAATCCTTAATGTGCAGTGTTCCTGCCAACTAGCCAGCCAATACAAACTCAATATTGATATAACCAGAAATTATAGGAATTGGATGGAAACTTGGGAAATGAAATATTCAAAGAAGATTTCCTACATAAATCATCACAAATTGCCATTGCATATGTCCATTTCTTTGCAATAATCCCTTTGTTTGTGTTTTTTTCTGCTGACCTTTGGAGTGGAGCAGGGAGGTGGGGGGGGGGTGGGCTGGAAGAGAGAGAGAGAGATAAAATGAAGTTTGAAAAGAAATAAGAAAAGAGGGAAATTATAAGTCTCACAGTCTTATTAAAGAAGAGTAAAAATCAAACTCAGTGGGAAAGGGAAGGGAGGGGCCAAAATTATTACAGTCTTGAATATGATTAATAGCCTAGATAACTTGCTTGGCTAGCAATTATCAGACTGGGGGAAGCCATAGTCTTTCCTGCTCATTAAATGTAGGGAGTTTTCATCTATGAGGAACATGAACTAACCTTAAAAACTTCTTTAGCATCTCTGGAACACTATCAGAAAAACATTGAACTAGGGTCCAAAGCTGCTGCTTTAGAAAATTTATGGAATTTGTTTCTTTGTACCCAAAAGTCTCAGTAGTTGAACATAAGGAAGGAAATAGCCATATTGGGCTTTTTGGTGCAAAATGTGACAGTTTGCTATCCCAGCAATTGGGAATATAGGTATTCCTCGACTTACAACCACAATAGGGACTGGAAAATTCTTCATTAAGCTGTGTGGTTGTTAAGTAAGGCATAATGTGACCGCACCTGATTTTACATTTTTTGGGGGCAGTCATTAAGCAAATCACCATGATCATTAAGTGAATCACATGGTTGTTAAGGGAATCATGTGGTTCCCCATTGATTTTGCTTGTCAAGTGTTGGCTGAGAAGGTTGCAAATGGTGATCACGTGACCCCAGGATGCTGCAACCATTATAAATACATGCTGGTTGCCAAGCACCCAAATTTTGATCATGTGACTGCAGGGACGCCACAGCAGTCATAAGTGTGAGGACAGGTTGTAAGTCACTTTTTTCAGTGCTGCCATAACTTTGAACAGTTGCCAAATGAATGGTTGTAAGTCAAGGACTACCTGTATGGCAGTGATGTTAGAGAAGCATATTTAGGGAGGGGGGTATACTGTAAGATACCCCCGTCTTAAAAACATAGCATCTAATACACATATCTCCAAAGAAATTTGGAAGAAATTTCCAAACAATGTTCAGCTATGCAATGGTACAGCAGCTGACAACAGTGGTTATATTTAAGAAACTGGTAGACAACAAAACAAGAATCCACACAACACAGATGAGATGAAACATAAAAATGCAAGAAAGATATACAAATGTTATCACAAATTGCTCCTAAATTGATGGCTCCCCAGTTTTAATCTCTTAAGCTGAAAAGCAGTGAGAGCAGCTAAAAAACATTGGGGGGGGGGGATATTAAATAAGTTCCTGTAGCTTTTGGGGGGGGGGGGGATATTAAATAAGTTCCTGTAGCTTTTGGGGGGGGGGGGGATATTAAATAAGTTCCTGTAGCTTTTGGGGGGGGGGGGGATATTAAATAAGTTCCTGTAGCTTTTGGGGGGGGGGGGGATATTAAATAAGTTCCTGTAGCTTTTGGGGGGGGGGGGGATATTAAATAAGTTCCTGTAGCTTTTGGGTGTGGGGGGGTATTGTTAAAAAATGTTGAGCCTTAGAAATCTTGAGTGTGGAAGGAGACCTTGATCTGTAAGAGACTCTGGAAAAGGCAGCAGAGCCCATGAGGCAGGTGAGACATACCTATTATCCTTTAGAGGGGGTAGTTTAGTTTTGATTTTTGTAGGGTATTTTCCTAACCCTTCCTATGTGGTATCTATTTGCGTACCCTGCCGTAAAAGATTCAGCATTTTATGAAAATTATTTGGCAAAAAAAGGGTTCTGCTTTCCGTGTGTTTCATAAAATGCTACAATGGCTTTCATCTCTTTCTTAATGTGGCTGTGTTGCTTTGAGAAAAGTTTCTCAAAGCCTCAGCAAGAGGTCAGAATTCTTCCATGATGATCCCCAGTGTGGAACTGGAGCTGAGGAAGGGTATAATACTATACCAATTGTGGTATTCCGCTTGTAGGGCTCTAAAAAGGTGTGAAACTATAAACAGTAAGAAGAAACAATCCTAATTTATTAGTTGTTAGGATTTAGTATTTAGAGGTCAAGTAGGTGGCATCCACCTACTCTGGACTTGAAAACTAAGCAGGTTCAGGCCTGGGTAGTATTTAGATAGTAGGAAGGACACAATGTCAAGCCACTTTTACTGTTGTCAAGAAATCAACATGGATATGACCATGTAATAAACAAGAGACAAGCTTCACTTGGGAGTATCTGTAGCTCTTTATTCTCCTCTTTCAAGAGAGAAGGTGTGGCAGAGGTTAGTTTGAACTGCACTGGATTTCTCAGGTGACAAAGTCCAGCCAGGGGAGAGACCCCGGCACAGTCGCCTCAGTTTCTGAGGTGGGCTCTTGCTGCACTTCCAGAGTAAGCCTACATCCTTTGGTGGTCTTAACCACCCCACATTCCAGAGAAGAAACCCGTTGGGAAACCAGAGGCGAGAATCGAGTCCTGTTACTCTTAAACTACTCAGGACCAATTGTCTGACATAACCAGCAGCAGCTGAGCTCCAATAGATGGCTTGCCACCAGTGCTGAATTTCAAGGAACTTTCTTTAGAGTTAAAATGGGGTGTTCCTATTTCAAGTTAAGAAGGAACAGCATGGCTGGGTATGTATAACATGCTAATCAGAACAACCGGTGATGTATGCATCAGACACACAAACAATAAGATGGCTTAATGGGATGGCCTCATTCACACAACTTGATAACACAGTTGAGTTCCCACAACACACAGGGCGTCTATTTGCCCACTCTTCCATAAAATATTTAGTATTTTATGAAAAGTATTTGGGGGAAGAAAATCTGCCCAATCCCCTTGAATGTAATTAATATGTCGGTAAATCCAGCTAGTTTCCTTCCCTGCTCCTTTTAAAAAAAAAAAAAAAACTTGGGAGAAATGTCCCATAAATACAAAAAGTAAATGTTATTTACTGTACTATTAATTTCAGTTGTTTGAGATTTTATTATTATACAGTTCTGCTGCTGTCTTTTAATGCTGCATTTCAAAATTGATAGTGTTTAATTTTTATAACTCAAACTAATTTACTCATGGGAAGTGCCACTGCACTGAATGGAGTCCCATTAATTTCAAAAGGATGTAGCTATGCTGAAACTTAATCCAAATGCTATTTATGATTTCTAGGAACAACTTACTTAGAAATGTTATTTAAATATAATTTTTAAAAGTATTACATTTTGTTCTAATAATCTACTATTTACATTCTGACATATATATTATGTCATTTTATTAAAGCCTTTCAACATATTCCTTATTTTGGAGCTCGGCATTCAGAGTTTAATGCCATGTCTACCTGTATATGTCAAGGACTGCACGAGTGGTCCTTTGCATGCAAATGTCCATCTGCTCTCATTTTCCCAAAAGTTGTTCTTCCTATAGAATACTGCAGATGATTTCTATTGCCTACTTGAAAAGGTCAATAGATCACGTCTCAAAGTGACCTATAACAAGTCGGTGTCCTCTTACTTTTTTAAAAAAAGTTCAGTTAAACTTTGATAAGGCCTTTAAAATCAGATTTTTTATTTTATTTTTTTTTACTTTGCATTTAGAATTCCAGTTTTGTTCAGAACAAGAACTAGCCCTTTAGGATAATCAGACATCAGAGAGTGCATCCATTGTATGTTTTCTGGGCGTGCCTCTCCCTCAGTGACCTTGTAGTCCAAAATCTGAATCACTTAAGAAGTTGGACATGCCTAACAATGCAAATCTACTTAATCTGTGGGAAATGGAATACATTTCTGCATTTCAGAGGTTGTCAGAACATTGTGGTGTCATGACCCACATGGCTTTCACTTTGTCCAGACAGAGTAAGGGTATGATCTGGTAATCATCCAGCTATGGGTATGTAAGCTCCAAATTGGATCACTGTCAGAACATAGTGGGGCTGGGGTAAAGGCCTTCAGTGACCTAGCACAAAAGCTCCTGCCAAAGCCCCAACTTTCTCTTGATTGCTGCCCAAGGCAAGCCAGCCCAGGATTAACATACTTTTGCCTAGTTTCACCTTCCAAGGTCAGGTCATCTTGGCTTCTTCCTGGGGGAGGGGGGACATAATGATGGGTGCTGACCTCCAGGCCCACTCCAGGCATTGTACCTTTTCTGCTTCTTGCAGGAGAATGACACTTTGCCACGGGAGTCCTGCTGTTCAATCTTCCAGGGGCAGTGTAATGGTATGTGGGAATGACCTTGGGAGACAGGAGGAAGAGCTGCAGACTAGGCAGCGGTCAGATAAGAGGCAGCTGA